GGTAGAAAAGAAAAAGAGTAGAAGAAGGGAAAGGAGGAAAAGGAAAGGGAGAAGAGTGGGAGAGAGAGAAAAGGGAGGGAGGGAGTTACAAAGCCTAAACAGACTATACATAAGAAGACTGAATCAGCAATGAAAAGCTTGTGAAAGGTTAAAAAAAATAAGTCCAACCTAAAATGTACCAATAAACTCAATAAAAAAAAAAAGAGTCCAGCAAATAATGGTTCCACCGTTGAATACTAAAAAAATTTTAAAAATTAGTATCAATCCATGTTAATCTCTTCCAAGGCATACAAACACACTATAAGGCTAGCACCACTGTAATACCTAAGCCAAACAAACACTCCGCAAAAAAAGAAAAGTACAAGACAATATCGCTGTTGCACATAAATGCCAAAATCTTCAATACTAGCAAACTGAATTCAACAGAGTACTAAAAGAACAAGAGGATCAAGTAGTATTAATCCTTGTGGAAAAAGGACAGTTCAATTAGGTAATATAATACACTACATTCACAGAGTGAATATACAACCACATGATAATCTCAGTAAACATAGAAAAAGCATTTGACAAAATACAACATTCACTTGTGATTAAAAAAAAATTCCCAACATACAGGTATAGAAGGAACTTACCTCAGCAGAACAAAAAGCACAGTGAAATCACCACTGGTAGCATCATAAAGCATGTGCAAAAACTGAAAGCATATTCTCTAGCAAAAGCAATTGCACAAGAAAAATAAATAAGACACTCAAGGAGGAAAGTATGATTATCTGTTTGCAAATGACATAATTGTATATGAAAACAAATCTAAAGACTGAATAAACAAACAAAAACCAAAAACAAAACTAATGAACAAAATCAGTAAAGTTGCAGGACACAAAAATCAGTGGTTTCTGAACACAAATAATGAATTAACTAAAAGGAAAATCAGAAGAGCAACCCCATTTATATTAGAAATACAAAGAACAAAATATTTAGGAATAAACAAAGAAGAGGAAAATTTATATGCTGAACATTAAAGAAGACGCGTGAAATGTAAACATGCCTAATTTTCATGGTTAAAATTTCTATAGTATCAAAGAAATCTACAGATTTAATGCAATCTGTACCAAAACCTCAATGGCATTCTTTAGAGGAATACAAACAAACAAACAAACAAACAAACATAGAAACCCCAAAACAAAACATAAAATTCACATGGAATCACAAACATCCACAATAGCCAAATCAATCTTGAGCAAAAACAGCAAAGAGCAAAGCTCTATATGTATTTCAAAATATATTACAAAGATTCACTAATAAAAACAGAATGGTACTGGCATAAGAGCAGATACATAGACCAATGGTTCAAAACAGAGTTCATAAATCCATGCACTTATGGTCAACTGATCTTCAACAAGGGTGCCAATAATACACAAATGTAAAAAGAATACTCTCATCAACAAATGGTTGTGGCAATTTAGATAGCCACATGCAAAGGACTGAAACTGTACCCTTACTCAAAACATAAGTAAAAATGAACTCAAATACTTAATGTAAAAGCTTAAAACTAGAAGGAAACAGTGAAAAGCTTATTGACATTGGTTACGGCGGCGATTTTCTGGATATGATACCCAAAGCACAGGCAACAAAACAAAAATAGGCAAGATTATATCAAAGTAAGGGCCGAGGATTTAGTTTAGTGGTTCTGTTGCCTGCTTTGCAAGCACAAGGTTCTGAGTTTGATCCCTGGTACCAAAAAAAAAAAAAAAAAAAAAAAAAAAAAAAAAAAAAAAAAGTATCAAACTAAAAAGCTCTTTCATAGCAAAGAAAATAATTGACACAGTGAAAAGACAACCAATGGAATGAAATATTTATAAGCTATTTACCTGATTTATGATTAATATCCAAAATATGTAAAGAACTTAACTCAATAGCAAATGAATAATTTGATTTATAAATAGACAATGGATGTATAGTCATTTAAAAAAGAAAAAAAAGCACACAAATGGCCAATAGCTATTTAAAAAATGTTCAGCATCACTAATCATCAGCAAAATGAAAATTAAAACACAATGAGATATAACCTCCTAACTGTTAAAATAGCTATTATAAAAAAAGGCAAATAATTTTTGGCTAGGACATATAGAATAAGGGACCCTTACACACGATTAATAGGAATGTACAATAGCATAATCATTAGGAAAAATATATGGTGAGTCCTAAAAACTTAAAAATAGAACTTTATGGTCCATCAACCTCACTTTTAGTTATATAGTAAAAAAAAATCTATATTTAAAACAGATATCTGCAATCCCATGTTCTCTGCAGCATCATTCACGATAGCCAAGATTCACAAGCTGCCAAAACTGTTCACTGATGGACAATGGATAAGACACTGGGGCATAGACACACAACAGTATTATTCAATCTAAAAAAAGAAATCCTTGTCATTTGCAACAACATTGATGAGTCTGGAGGGCATTATGCTAAGTAAAATATGCCAGGCACAGAAAGACAAATATTGCATGATTGTTTTCACATGTGGAATGTCACACAGCTGAACCACAGAAGCACAGAGTTAGCATGGTTACCAGAGGTCAATGAGTTGGGACAATGCTAATCAATGTGTACAAAGTGTCAGTCATGCAAAATGAACAAGCTCTTGAGATCTAATGTACATTTACAGCATGGTTACTATATTTAACAATATTGTATTGTACACTTAAAATTTGATAAGAAAGCTATATTAAGTATTCTCACCACACAGCAAAAAATGAGTAACTTTTCAGTGTTGGGAACGTTTTGGTTCCATGGTTGCAGCCATATATCTAACTTTATATCATTCCTTCACTTATTCTACTTAATTTTCTCTTCATTCTGTCCACAAGACCCTCACATTGTAAATGGTATAAGTCTGCAGTTTCTAGATTTTTAATTCAAACCCTCCATTAATACATAAAAGGACATCAAATAACACATATCAAGAAGTTTAAAATTTTTAATAAAGGATGATTCCCAGAACTGAAGGAACTAAAGGAAAAACTCAAATAGTGTACTTCTTTTTCCTAATTATGGAATAAGAAAGTACCACAGGGATTAGGGTTCTGTCTATAGACTTTACCTTTAGAAAGAGTAAAAATATTCATTTAAAATATATTTAACACATATACATTGTAAACAATGTCATTAAAAAGAAAACCTTTGTTCTTATCCCCAGCTTAAGAAAGAGCACTGCAAGGACCTTTGAAGGCTCCATGTGCATGTGACTGCATCTCCCTCCCTCCTGGCCAGAGTTTGACATTATCTTAAATTTCCTTTTATCCACTTTACTGTTTTATAATGTATCTAGCTCTATAAAAGGATATATTCATTTTACTTGTTTTTAAACTTTATATACATTATATTTTGTGAACTCTAATTTGTTTTGTGTCTTCCATGTTCATATAGCTTTTTTCATTACAGTATGGTATTTCATGAGTATACTGCAGTATTTGTTTACTGTACTCCTGAACATTGGGTCTTTCCAGTTTTGTTTTGTATTTTTTCTATTAGAAACAATTCTGACACACATGAATGAAATGTTTGTTAGGTTTCAGACATGCCAAAGAATATATAAGCCAAGGATTAGGCTGCACTCATCCTCAACTTTACTATCTACTGCTAAACTTTTTCAGAAGTTGTTCTATAAATATGTGCTTTGCCACTAGTAGGTAAGAGTTTTGAATGTTTTATATCATGCAATTGTTGAACTTCAAAATTTTGCTAATCTAGTTGATATACGTGAAATGGAAATTCATTATAGTATTAATTACCTTTCACAATTTTTAATGATGCTTGACACTTTCTCAGCTTTATGATCATTCATATTATCTCTCCTGTGAAATATCTATTTCATATCTTCTGGACATCTTTCTGGTGGGCTTTGGTTTCTTCAGTTAATCTACTGAAATGCTTTAATTTGTCAGGATATAAATTCCTTGTCAGTTACATGGTCTAAAACTAAAATCTTCATTCTTTTTGTGGTATCTGGATAAACAGACATTCTTAATTTTAATGACACTTAAGGATGATGACCTTAATGAATATATCTTGAAAAAAATCCTGTAGACTGACATATGGATTCAGAATGCACTGAATCTGCAGAATCAATTTGAGAAGAGACATCCTAGTAACACTACATTTTCCTATCATTCCCATGTCTCTCCATTTATTTAGAACATATAACCTTAGTAGTATACTTTCCTATAAAAAGATATTTTACATCTCATGTTTTAATGATTGCTATGTACTTTATTTTTTATTACTTTATAGTAGTAGTTCTTGAACTGCATTTTCTCACCATATGTTACTGGTTCACAGATCTGCAGTTAACATATATGGAGTGGGTTGGGGATGTAGCTCAGTGGTGGAGTGCTTGTCTAGCACGCACAGGGCCCTTGGTTTAATTTCCAGTACCGAAAACAAAACAAAACAAAACAATCCAAGCAAACAAACAAACAAACAAAACCTTACCACCAACCACAAACATATATACAGCAATTTCTTACTAATTTCAATATTTTTTATCAATGTGGGGGGGTCTATGTAGATAATTATACTGGCTGCAAAAAATAAATGTTTTTCTTTCTTTTTCTTTTTTTTTTAACTTACTAAGTTTTAAGTAGAAAGTGGAAAAGAGGTGCAAATACTAAACACCTTTTTCTTGATTCTCATTCTAATCTCTCAATGTTGATAAAATCTCTCCCACCCCACCTTTGGCAGTACTGGGATTAAACCCAGGGACACTTTTCCACTGAACTACACATTCAGTCTTTGTTTATTTTTTATTTTGTGACAGTTTCACTAAGCTTGCCAGGCTAACCTCAAAACTGCAATCCTGTCTAAATTTCTAGAATAGCTAGGATTAAAAGCTAGAAGTCTTTTTTTTTAATCATGAATAGATGTTAACATTTTTCAAATATGCGCTCTTTATTAGTAGTAGGATCATGACACAGATTTTCTTAATTATTAAACTATAGCTCCTTCAATTCATGAGTGTGATGATTGGGTGTTCATGCTATATGCATGAGATGTGCCTCCCTCAAACCTTGTTTCAATATCGGTACATTACCTGTCTCATGTAGAAAAAAAAAGTATAAAGTGGAAAAGTCACAGATTTTCTAAGATCAAAAATCATAGCTTTTCTAGCATCAATGTTTTATTACATTCCAGGAGTAACCCCATTGTGGTTGTATTTGTTTATTTTACTGTATTACGTTTAGCAATAACTAGTCAGATGTTAGGTTCATGAGAATTAATGTCACATAGTTTTTCTGTTGTATTGTCCTTGTCTGCTTTTCATATGAAAAGCCTTGTCCAGGTAATGTTTAGTTTCACCAGTTCTAAAATGTCATGACCCACTACTAGATACATTCTTGACTTCAGAGACATCACAAAATATGTAGTGTTTAAAATAACAATGACCAACAAACATTATAAAGCATCATCAACATCCAATCTACTGATAGAGACAACAGAATTTATGTATATCAGGGTGAGTGTGCCTTAGAAAAAAATATAGCATTAATATGCAATTGGATTATTTTACTTAAATGTTTGATAAAATTTATTAACTTATCTGAACCTCATTGTCTTTGAATAGTATATATTACTAATTAGTTTAAATATTACTGAGTCAGGTTGGGAAGGAATACTTTCATCTAATTTTTCAAATTTATTTTGTTAGTTTACATTATTTTTTAAATGTCTGCTATTTTCAATCCCCTTTTTGATTCCTAATGTCTTTTCCCCCTTCAGCTTCCCAAAGGTTTGATAATTTTATTAGGCTTTTTAAACAACCAATGCTGTTTTTCCTGACAGTTCTCATTTGTGTTTATTTTCTATTTAATTAACTTATTCTCTTGTATTAGTTATTTGCTTACTTTCATTTACTTTGAGTTTATTCTATTTTTTCTTTTTCTAACTAAATTAAATGCTTAATTCATTACTTCTTAGCTGTCCTTCTTCTTATCAAATATGAGTATTTAGCCTTATTTTTTAGATTTCCTGCTGGGGTATGGTGGGGCTTCCTGAACCAAAGAGTTGTCTTTCATTACTTCTGAAGTTTTTGGCATTAACCCTTTTAATATTGCCTTTCATCTAAAAACATCCTGTAACTGATAATTACAACTGACACAGACTTTATACATCTAGACAGGAGGTAGCTTATGTGTAGTCTCTCATGGTGTTTTGTTACCTAATGTGCTACTGATTTTTCTCAATTTTTGACAGCATTTGGTATTGCCAGTGTTCTGGATTTTAGTTAGTCCAACAGGTAGGTTTGTGGTGTTTTCTGTTTTTGTTTGTCTTGTTTTGTTTTGTTTGGTACTGGGGATTGAACTTGGGACCTTGCACTTGCGAGTCAGGTGGTGGAACCTCTGAGCTAAATCCCCAGCCCTCTGGTTAAGTATTTATTGATTTTTTAACTATGAGCTCAATATGTAATGAGGCCTGTATTAAAATGTTCTCTTCTAAACATGATTTGTATTAATTCTTCCAGGCATCTATGCATTCTAACCCCAAAAACATTTTAAACTAAAGTATGATTTCTGCCACAAACACAGTATGAATTTAGGCTCCAAGCCCATGTGCTTTAGGATTTCTCAAGGAAGACTGCCCCACTCCAGGCAGTCTACACAGAATCAGGACCAAGACATACAAATACACCACAGTTTTTTTCTGTAGCATGTTTTCCAATTAATTAGGTAAAACTGCTACACTTCAGGACTTGTAATTTCATGAGGAGAAATGTACAACACAAATTTCTATCACAAATGGGTCACAGCCTTTTACTCCTTTCTCTTATTAACACCCAAGCTTTAGATCTTCATGACTCAGCAGATACCAGTCAGGACAAATGCTGCAGTTGGTTCATATATATAAAACTTATCTTAATTCTTTTTTTCATCTCTTTCCCTCCCCTTTCCTACCCTTACCTTTCATCTCCTGGTCTCCTTTCCCTTTGTAAAAGATCTGTCTCTCTATTCTCCTATTATCTATCTTTCACCTTGCTCTTTATTTATATTCTGGATTTCTCATCTAAGAGAAACTATGTAATGTTGAAGCTTATTTGCCTAATTTCTTTCACTTAATATTATAGTCTGAAGGTACATCCATTTTCCTTCAACTGATTCATGTATCCTTTTTATGACAGAGTAGTACTCCACTGTATATAAATTTATTTTCTTTTCATAAATCTTTAAAGCACTGTATCCAGCATTTTGATGTTGCTACCAGGAAGGTTTTTTTTTTTTTTTTTTTGTATATCTACTAGGTCATTAAGTGAAATTGAAATTTATTTATATATCTTAATGGTTCATTATATTTCCAAACTTCTTTTCCCATTTTAGGGGCTGAGAATATCAACTTTGGTTTATTCTTGCTTTCAGTATAAAAAACTACGTACCAAGCACACCCATTAAATGTCAGGTTGACAGACAAGACCCTTAGAAAAGTCTGTACTCCCCAGGGGATACATGTCCATTTTGAGCATCATTCCTTCATCTGGAAAGAGACATATTTGATAAAATTTCACTGTTTCATTGTGAAAGAAAATTTATATGTTCAAAGTTAAAATGGAAACAGAAAATGTTCTATGAAGTTATTCTATCTTCTCATAGTAACTACGCAAGTATTGCTGGATAAATTATATGATATTAACTTTGTTATATATTTATTAACAATACCAAAGCCTATTTCCATACTCCTCATAAAATCAAAACTGTAGCAGACAACTCTACAGATAAGATTCTTTTTTCTAGATCTGCTCAAGAGATCTCAATCTGTTAAGACTTTCTTTTTTTTTTTTTAATCTCTTAGACTTTTAAAACAAAGGAGGCTAAATCCAACCAAAAAAACAGCTGAGAAACAAATTTAGTAATTCTTTAGCACTAATTTAAAAAATTTTAAAAAGATGTTTTTCAGGCAACACCATATCCTTTAGTATTATTAATGTTCATATTTTCTGCTTTATTAAATAAACAATAATGCTGGGTAAGACAAACTCCCTCATCTTTGTAATTCATGCTTACAACAAAGCCAGATAATTCATTCTTACTTGCCAAAAATGTTTTCAAAGGTATTGTAGTTTCCCCTAAAGAAGCATAAAAAACCATAGTTTGTTACACTTACAAGAGATTTTAAAAGTATTTTATTCTTATTTTTTTAACTTGCCAAGAATCATATATTATTTATTTAGTAGGTACTTCCATAACTCTATGAAATAGCTATCCAAACACAAAAAATTTCAAAATAGAAATCAACTACATCTTAAGAAATAACTTTAGAGATCTAATGCTTTAAGGACTCAAAAATTCAGGAAAAATTACCCTAACCTCTAATTTTTTAAGATTATTTCCAACAAAAGTAATATATGGCTCCAAACCGAAGAGTAGCATGTTGGAGGGGTGTGGGGTGGAGATTAAAGACAGTGAGGGACAAGTAGGGAAAAAAATGCAAGTCCTCTTTCAGGCCAACAATGTTCATGAAATGTAATACATAAATCTAAGAACAAATCTGTTATGTGTGTGGTCCCATGTATACTCAGAATTGATCTAGAAATATCTTACCAAGAAAGGAGGAACTGCTTCGATTCATGGGAGAAAGTGACTTCTAGGTCTCCTTTTATCTGTGAGCCACTTAAATGAAGGTACGCTGTGTTAGTCATCTGAGATTATACCAGCAACATCTAACACTGCCACCCCAGGGAATCCGATACAACATCTTCAAAATAGAAAACTCTGTTTCTGAGAAAATCTCTCTTAATTTTGAAATTTTATATTAAGTTGTGGATATAGGTTCATATCATTTTTAACTCTGCCTGAGCACTTCAAGTGAAGGGATTTTCTGGTTTGGGAGAATTTTACACATATTAAGAGAAAGATAATATTGGCATGGTCTAAATAAAGTTTTTTTGTTTTGTTTTGGTTTTTTGTTTTTTAGTACCAGGGATTGAACTCGGGTCCTTGTGCTTGCGAGTTAGGCAATGGAACCTCTGAGCGAAATGCCCAGTCCCTAAATTAATTTTGATTAAAACTGATTAAGTGGACAAAACTTTTTCTAAAGGTTTCAAAATTTTAAACATTTAAGTATTGGTTTGAAATGGACTGATTTAAATTTTAGCAAAGCAACATCTATATTTTATCACAAAGCACTATATCCTAAAGATGCTTTCTTAAAGATAAAATCATACAAAATAGCTTTTTACAACCTAGAACAGAAAGGTAGCCATAAAATCTAGTATATCACGAAGCTTTGTAACAATTTTAAACAAGGCCAAAAGGTAAAAAATATCTCCCTATGAGATGAGCTATAATTTTATCTCTAGGCTCCTCTTTCATTCCCCTTATTTAAAAGAAGGGAAAGGGGGCTAGCCTAATTATATGTCTGTCTTTCTTGATAAACAGTGGAACTATACTAAGTTCAAACAAGTTAGCATAAAACAAATCTCATCCTATTTGAGATTGTAATGGTACTTAAATTCAAATTATTATGGAGTAAAACTTGATACTTAACCTTTCAAAGAGAAAAAAAAAGAGAAATGCATAATTTTTTAAAAATGTGATTCATTATTATAACATGAATATATAATGAATAAAAGTGTACTGCAGAAAATTTAATTATTAAATAATGACCTATGCTAAGTTGGTATGAGTCAATATGAACAAAGGAGACATAGCCAGTAAATGAGAATGGATGAAATTCTTAAATAATGACAATCACTGACTCATAATTTAAGCCATTTAGCTCTCGTCACAAGCCTACTTACTGGGGAGACCACCCTCTGAAAGCAGTGCTCTATGAAATCCCAAAAGCAGTTATATTGGAATTATGAAAACTGGGGTAAAAATATAATCTAAGAAAGTCTTATTAAGGAGAAAAAATTTAAGCCACATATTCAGAAATGAGAAGTGTCTGGATAAGCATTATCTGGAAGGAATTATAAGGGAGAACAGGAAAAATAAAAGCACAATCTATCTGGGGAATAGTGAAGAAGGTGATCTAGCTGGGTTCATGAAGGAAAACATGTACGAAATTAGAATAGAGTAAAATCAGAAATACTTGACTACCAGATTATGGCAGC